CTCCTACTACTACTACTACTACTACTACTACTAATACCACTACCATTACTACTACCATTACTACTACCACTAGAGTGACCTATGACAGACAGCGAACCGAAATGCGCACTGGTTATCGCTTTTTTATCAGCACATAATTACCGTCTATCTTCTAGGCCGGAAGAAGTGCACAATTTCGTGTTCTTAAGATCGGCTTTTTCTGCTGCTTTTGAAGCACGCAAAACTTTGCAATGCTTGCATTTTAACTACTCTGGATTTTTGACGGGGCGTATCCGGTACTCTTCTACAGCTTCTGTTAAAACCGTTCCCGTACCGGTATACTGTCTGCCTGCCTTTGTATTGGGCCTTTTAGATGGCGAAAGGTAGAACCTACTTTCGAGGTTTCTTTGCAGCGTATATCATATCAAATACTCTTGGACAATGCGACATTTTCAAAATGCAATGTTATTCAGACGCCAAGTGTTTTCGTTTTTCATGAACAGGCGCCCTTATGACCGGATTGACTGAAATGGTCTATTTTTGTGACATGGTCAATGCAGCATTTCGTAAATTCTTTTTCTGAATTTTGTGTAGTGCTTAAAGCCACAAACTAGAGAGCCTAACGCCTCCGGCAAGAACCTACTGTAACTTCTGAAGGTTAACATTTTATTGCATTGTCTGGGTGATCTCTTGGAAGCATAAATTTAAGGTTGTGATCAGGCACTAGTTGACAACTCTCAGCCATCCTCGACTCGTCCAGTATTCCATTATATACTTAATTGTCTCGACACTTCAGACGCTCTTCCTACTACTGGCTCTGCAATGCTCTGGACATCTACTGCCCTGTCCAATGGGAGTACGGTCGCCTGAATTTACTCTACACGGTCGTTTCGAAGCGTAAGATCCTCAAACTAGTAAGCGCAGGCATTGTGGCCGACTGGGATGACCCCCGCCTCTTTACTCTCACCGCTCTTCGTCGTCGTGGCTTCCCACCAGAGGCGGTCAACAATTTCTGCCAGCTGATTGGCGTGACAATGAGTCAGACAGTCCTGGATCCTATTGTTCTTGAGGCCTGCGTCCGTGATTATCTTAACAAGCATGCACCACGTGTTATGTGCGTTCAGGAGCCTCTGCGCTTGACAATAGAGAACTGGAAGGAAATCTGCGACAAGCCGGTTATGGAGGCAAGCTTGACACCTTATTTATTGTCCATAATATTGAGTTGTGTCTCTAGTATTTTTTGAAAAGTTTTTCCTCTATATGCAATCTCGAGGTACTATAGGTGTTGTAACGGTGGCCACATACT